ACTTGCTTTGTCAATGTCAATTTTTATACCATAAAAGATTGTTAGTGATAAAATCAGAACTGCACATTCATCTTCAAAACCCGATACACTAGGCAACACCTTCGATACAGAAAACAGTTGAATAGCTCTATATCACATTTTTCTGGAAATTGGCTGACTATCAAAATACCACTCTTGTCTGAAGTAGACCTATGAATAAAATCACGAGCCACATTTTCATCGACCGCTGCTGAACAGAAATCATCGATGCTAAGAATGCTACTCTTGTGCGTTAGAGTCCATTGATATGGTTCTAGCCTTTCTTGCTTCACCATTAAACCACGAAACGAATATACCTTTTAATGCATGCTTATGCAGACTATCTCGTTTATATAGGATTAGAATTGAATGTTTGCAAAATCGGTGATGTCGCAAAAATTTTTGTAATATGTATACTCGTTTCCAAAATACGAATATCGATTTGGTTTCGTTTACCCATGATAGTAGTAAATAGATGTTGACTATTGGCGATCATCTCACTACTGAATTGTTGTGAATTTGATATACGGTGAAAGAGTTGACGAATTTCATAGTTATCTACCACTTCGTATACTGTAAGACCATTTTGATTTCGTAGATATCGCATAACACCATATTGATGAAGAAGAATTCGCATAACGTCAGTATGATCGAAGCATGAGGCTAACATGAATGTTGTATTATCAATTGGCTCGAAACGATTGATATTGGTATAGGTAGTAATCGATGAGAGAATATTTCGACCAGTATCAAGGTCATCCACTCGACATGTTTGATAGAGAGCACTGGTTTCACTCTAATGATATTGACGATGCATGAATACTTTTCTATTGGTGATGTCTATCATTGATGAAGAAAAATATAACGAGTATCTTTGCCTATGATTCATGTTCTCATCACTAATGATTAGTTATCAATATTGAGATAGAATCACAAGAATAGAACTTACGATTATGACGCATTTTATGCACATTATTCTTTCGTTTTCTGTACTAATTTACGCACCAATGTATATTCTCGTGCGGTACAAGTACACTTATGTTAAAGTATAATATTGTATAAAAAGATATAGTATGAATCATGATTGCAAGATATATTGTTTGTTTTTCTCTCGTTTCAATGTCAAAATTCGTAAAAAGTTTCAATCTCATTATTTTTTGTAAATTCATACATACGTTTTAACTAATCGATCTTCATTATTTTTTGTGAAAGTCACTATTAAAAAAATGGCTTCCATGACAGTTGCCCCTGCGACACTTGCTTTCCGAACAGAACTCTTATTGAATAAAAATGTAGAAACCACTGATAGAATAATAAATATCTTATTAATTATAAAAATAATAGAAATTTTATGCAATTAAAAATAAGTAACAATAAGAGAAAACTAGAATTCACGTGTAGATGTAAGTATGGATGCTCAAAGAGAAGATTCACACCCACACCTTTCAAAGAAGTTCTGTTTGTTGTTCATTGAGAGTGAGTGCCATGGGAGCAATTGCCTGATCCGCAATAGTTGTATTATCTATAAAAATAGTGAATACAAGTTTTAATCCAAAATTAATTGCTCCTCTCTCCCTTAAAAGAAGGCTACTTAAAAAACAATTGTTGAGTACAAATTATACTAACTAATTTATTTTCTTGTCTAAGAAAATTGACAAAAGCATCCGTTCAAAAAAATATGCTTTCTTCATTAATCAAACAAATTATTTTACTTGCATATTTTCAAAGCTTGTCTTCTATTTCTGTTCTTGATCGACTTTGCTAACATCAAGTAAGCAGATGAATTTTAAAACATCGCATATCGTTTTGATTTATGCAATTTTCAAGTTTTAATTTTTCTGATATTCGAAGTGCAAAAAATCAAAATTAGTTAAAAAGACGATGTGAAATTTCAGTTTCCACTCAACTCAAATTAACACACATGGATCTTAGTGATCAATAGACGAGAAATTTACTAGAGAGGCAGTGCATCCAGTGACAGATGAATGTGCGATCATTGAATAAAAACTAAACTGTCGTGGCGTCGGACAAAACGTATTAGCGAATAAAAGAAATTATTTTTCTTATGTACAATGTTTCATAGTAGATTTCAAAATAGTCATAGATTAGTTTGGAGACAGGAGAAATCGAAAAATAACAATGATTTTCACCAATGACCTGCGGCTCCATGTTATTGACCTAATCCATCATATTGAACATTCTTATCAATAGCTTCTTAACCTAAACGACTTTTGTTTAGCAAGAGATAGAACAGCATCGGCGATTAAGATGTGCAATTCACTCGGACAAACATTATGTGCTAGAAAATCAAAAATTTCTAATCTATCGTTTTATTATAAAATCATAGCTCGTGATAATGCAATTGGGAAAAAAGTTTTCTTCTAAAAGGATAAATAGTATATTTTACTAGTAAAGTATAACCTTCCATAGTGAAGATCTCTCTGCAATGAAGATTTTCTTATACTGGACACCTCACAATCTAAGGAAGTGATCTTTTCTGGAATCGAACCTTTACATAGCGAACATCTCCTCCAAATGAACACAATTTCACAGTCTTGCTTGCATAAAACACCACGATGACTACAATCGAGAGTATAAGATAGTTTTTTTCCATAACCAACTAGATGACCAAGTCACAGAACTAAACACATGTTCGGTATGTTCAGTAGACCAGAGATAAAAAAGCAATGTTGCCTTGGCGTCATTTTGCTACTATCATAAGAGAAAGAAAGCATCGTGTCAAAACGACAATCGTTATCTCAGAAAAATAGGATTGTACTGATAAAAGATAAGCAAAATGGCCATAGTTTGTTAATGTGAAAACTATTCGACAAATACAATTTGTTAAAGAGTAGTGTCGCTAACATTCTCTATTGCAGAGAATTCTCGATTCTGTCTTAACTTAGAGAAAGACGCTGAACAGAAACCTAGATGAAAGTGAACAAACAGAGCTCAATGAAAGATTATTTTAATTACTGTTGATTTCTTTATTTTAATAATTAAAAGTAAATGAAAATAGAAGAAATAATATGCTCAAGTCAGTTTTTTTTATTCAATAATAGTTCAGATGCTTATGAATATGTCTGTTTTTTCGAAAAGACTTAACCTCAACATAGTAGACACCTTTAAAAAGTCAAAAACAGTACTCAACATGCGAAGGTTGTACTGTAATTAAATATTACCACCATATATACAAATCAGAATAAATGAATTTCATCAAACAGTCATCAAGTAGTTTTTCTGATTCGATTAAAGCTTTCAATTTATCAACCAATGTTGAGTTCGCATATGAAAAACATACTAAAAACAAATGACGGATATTTTCATTAGTTTTCGATGTGAATAATTGAAATATTTTCTCCTTACCAGTCCAATTCACATTGGTTGAAAAATATTGTAACCGAGGACATAAATCACAGAGTAATTCGATTTTTTTAATAGCACATCTCCTTTTAATAGTTAGGTTTCTAATAATATTTTTCTTGGATACGGATTGAAAAACTTCACTTTCTTGTATTGATACAAATTTTGTTCCATAGAATTTAACAGAATCGAATATCAATGTATTGAACATTAGCTGCCATGTTTAATAATTCAATCAATTTTGGAAAGGAAAAATATTGACATTCTGTGACTATTTTAGTAAGTTTCTCTAAAGGAATAATACGACTAAGAATAGTTGTAAATGATTGTGTTGTTTGATAGAAACTATCGATAAAAGTAAGAACTGTAGCACATGAAAAATAATTAATACAATCAATCATTGCTTCTTCATTATAAAACCTGAACCTGACGAATTAAATTTAAATTCGTTGATTGATGATATGAATCAGTATCCTTGACTGTTTTTCCTAATAAACTAAATAGTTGTCTCCCGTGAAAAAAAAGAATATTAGAAAATTGAACAAAAACAATTTCATCATACTTATATTGACCTATTGAATAGAAAAGACCATGAATTTGACCTTTCCTCGAACCAAGTCGGTGAGTGAAAAACCATTGCCGTTCGATCCAAAATGAAGAATTGAATTTTTTCAACAAAGAATCGTATGTTGACGGATCATCATCTCCATACAAATGATACTTAAAATGAATATCCCAAATGCGCAAATATGGCATATAAGATAATACTAGTTGTTCCCATCGATTGGCATTTAGATCTATTTGAGAAACTGATCCAGAGATACGTAAAACTTGGATTTTATGAAAGTAAGTTTTTGATTAATAGTTCAAATTCATTAAAACGGACATGATACAGTTCAAGAGATAAATGTGTTAAATTATTCGATGAAATAGGAAATTCTATGGGTTTACCATAAAATCTGTGGAATGATTGAAACGATAAACGACGAAGCTGAGGGGTACATGATAAGAACCAATCAAGAATTTCATATTGAACAGTATAATTAATGACAAGATGTTCAATAGGACTGTATTGAGTGGGTGTCGGTGTGAGTGTGGGTCATCTCTTCATCACTAACACCCATACCGACACCTACCCGCACCCACACCCACACCCACACGCACCCACACCCACACAAATCCACACCCACCCTCAAGAGAATAGAAAGTAAATGAGCTTTTAGAAATGTCCGTGCTCTAAAAAAGCAAGTAAAGAGACAAAAGATGAAAGATTCTATTTCTGCATTTATTAATTCAGCTCATTTAACGCATGCATTGGACATAGCTTCTCTGTAGAAAATACTGTGTGATTCACATATATCTTACCTTTTTGTTTAATTGCACACTAGTGGGCATGACTTACATGAGCAATAATGTCGACTGAAAACTGTGAATGGGAATAGACGATATAGATTAGAGCTCAAAACTGATCATACATATGACAAATGACCTCGTTTCGGGTGTGGATGTGTGGTGTGGGTGTGTGTGGTGTGGGTGTGGGTGGGTGTGAGTGTAGTTATTCTCTTAACTCAGATCCACACCCACCCACACCCACACCCACACCCTTAGAAAATGTATCAATGGACGACATTATCAATGCAGCACGTAGAGCTAATATTCATCAAGTTATTGACCAATTACCTCAGGTTAAATCATACAAAATTAAATAATGGATCTATTATTATTGTATGATATTTTTTTAAGGGTTATGAAACAAAAGTAAGGTTGAAAGGCAGTTTTCTATCGGATGGTGAGAAGCAACGTATTGCTATTGCTCGAGTTCTTGTTCGCCGACCTAAAGTATTGCTCTTAGATGAAGCGACAAGTGCCATGGATTCACACAATGAATACATATGTTCACTTTTTTCCTGTTTACCAATCAAAGTGTCATCTTCATTTGTCAATTTTAGATTGTACAAGAAGCTCTTAAACAAGCTCAAGGAGAAGACTCTAGTAGAGCATCACTTATTATTGCCCATCGTCTTTCAACTATCCGTTCATGTGATTTAATTTGTGTACTTGATAGAGGATGTATAGTGGAAGGTGGTACTCATACAAAGTTGACACAACGACGTGGGGCTTATTATAAAATGCTTACTCAAAAAAATTTACAATGATCATCCATGAACTATGTTGAAAGTGAAAATATATTTTGTTAAACAGTATGAGAAACTTGGTCTAAAATAACTAATGCACAATGTAGTTACATTAATCAATTTACTTTATAATTTTTATTGTTGAAAGAAATTGAATGCATCACACAGCTACAATGTATTCAAACCATTGTCTTTCATTTATTACTCATATCTGAAGATAGTACAGAGAATGATGATCTCAATAATAATGTACGAGAGAATATTCCCAATTGATCCATGCTATTTGCAATGATATTTTGTACATATTCTGGGAACGTTATTCTGAAAAAATTCTACGAGAGTTTAGATTGATTGAACTTCCTTCGAACTTTATGATAATTTTACCAAATTTTCCTCCCAAAATAAGGTACATACAGAAAAGCCGAATATGACAGGTTTAATCTGACATTTTACTCAAATGTAGTTCTCCTGGTCAATGCAAAACTTTCAATATTTCCATAGGAACAAACTTTGGTTTGTGGAGGCATGGCTGCTCAAAAACTTGTCTCATAATCTATAAGGAGTGTAAAATAAGTTCTGATTTTCTCATGGGATATTTTTTATTGCATCTTTCTCAAGTGGAAGAGGTCGATATTTCTAGCAGTATACTAGATGTCTAGATCTACTCTACACTAGAGTTTGAGCTCTCTACTTAGTGTCATTACAGCGACATAAGCGTTGCCAAAATAATAAGAATTGTCAGATTATAATTGGAACAATGATCGAGAAGAAAAATTGTATTCATTCTATCATGCATGTTAACCGAAGGAGCAGCATGAGCAATAAAACAAGTATTTAAAAATGCTAGTTTGATACTAATCTTTCAAGATAATCAATGTAGTAAACACAGAACAACGATTATGAAGAATATTGTTGACTCTTTATGTGATAAGCGTATAGATTCCCAAATAGGTGGTGCACAATCAGCTGATGTTTGACCAATAGGAAATGTATGGATGTGAGTGTGAATGGGTGTGGGTGTAGATGCTAGTTCTGTCGCCACTCACACTCACACTCACACCCATACCTACGTCCCTTTCCAACTCAAACGAAAACACGTGATGTATGTTGAGATGTGTTGGAGACGAGAACAGTAAACCAGTCATTATTGAATAAAATTATTTTTATTAGAACATACAATTTTGTCATCTATTTGTTCATTATATCTCGCACAATTTTTGAAAGTATTCAAAAGTACTTCTTTTCACCTGTTTGTTTAAACTAAACAAAGCAAGCATCATCAGTCCTGTACAGACTGTTATTGAATTAATGACTAATAAATAAAAGAACTCTGGTGGATGATACTTTGTTGTTGCTTGCCAAAAAACAAGAAATAAGTACGGCGTACCACCACATAGAATAATACTTAATAAAATTGACATATTTCTTATAAGAGTTATTTCACGTCCAATATTTGGAATATTAATATTTGTATTAGTCGAAACTGCAATAACAGTTGATCCAGTATCTCTAACACGACGAGTTGATCGACGTGCACGACAAACCAGTGTAGTATAAATAATTGTTACAATATTAAATGGAATGACAAATGCTGTGATTATACCATACATTGCTGTCCATATTTTCTTTGTTGTACATGTACAAAGTCTTGATTCTTCTTCATAGATATAGCTACCTTCAATAAATAATAATGTAGCTGGTATTATGATACCTAGAAGCCAGTTAATTGTGATCATAATCCAATGAGTACGCCAAGTAAGAAGATATCTATGTTTGTAAAAAGCAACAAAAAAGAGACGACTAATAGCATGAATTGAATGTGAATATAGTAGAAGAGCACATGATACAACAAAACTATATGCGCGAAACTGGCATGCTGGTTGAGTTACAGCCCAATTTTTTTCTAGACCATAGACAGATGAAATGAGACTAAAGATAAGGTAGAGACCACAAATTAAACTTGTATTACATGTTAGTAAATTATTGACTGTACGGAATTGTCGTTTGCAGGAAATAGTATAAATTGTTATGGCAGTGAAAATCAATCCAATGATTGAAGCTATAATTGATATCGAAAAATTGATTTTAAAAAACAAATCTGTAAGCATGTTTATTGATTATTGACCTTTCCTTAATAAATATGAATAATCTAAGAATAAAGAATCATCTATTTGCCTGTGAAACATGATTGGAAATGAGTGTTCAAGTATATAGCGAGAAAAGTGAACTCGTCCACTCTCATCTTTAGACCGTGACAGACAGCCTAGATTTCATGGATCTGTCACAATCTGTGACGTTAGATGACTGTTTTCCGTCTGCTTGTCTTTGTCTGTAAGGCTGAGAGACTGACAGAATATGTTAGTCCATTTGAATGTGAAGCAAAATATGATCGAGGTGTGTAGGACTGTCTTTTACGAGCAGAATGGACCCGTCGTGTTTGAGATTTTAATGAATGTTGACAAGGCACACGTGAATTGCAGGTGAATATCGAGGTGAGTCTTGAATAATTTATACTATTGCCTGTCCAAAAAGTCAATGGACTCGACTCTTTTTTTTTGAATAACTTTTTCTACAAAAAATAAAAACCTACGGTCTTGAGCGTTTGGTAGTCAGTAGTTGATGCAATAAATTCTTGGTTGCCAAATGCTCAAGACCGTAGGTTTTTGCTTTTTGTCTAGAAAAAAGTTATTCAAAAAATATTCGAGTCCACTATCTTTCTGGACAGACAATAGTAATCTTCTTTTAAGTAGGCCTTGTTCCGCAAACGCAGAATCTGCCATAAACATGTAAAGTTTTCCCAAACAGAACATTCACTTAAAGAATTCATACAAACTTGACACTTTTCAAAAGCCACCTGTAAACATAGTATACTTCAAAAAAATTTTCTCAAATCAAACGATTTCTGAAAATACACGTTGATGTGCACGGGTAGATTTTCCACCTCTGCCTTGTACTCACCTGAGAATTAGAATTAGCGAAGCAAGATAACTAATAGAACAGTTGAGAAAAATTACGAGTTAGTGACTATGAAAGGTTAGCAGATATTTGTGACAATAAAGAACAATGAAGAAATATTGACTTATGGCTGTGACTAAGTAAGAATAGTATATGACATCTGCTCCTGCGCTTGTGAAATAGGATAGAAATAAACATATTTTTTCTCTTCCATATTCTTTTGATTGGGATCCGATCGTCAGTTGAGCAATGATACTGCAGCTGTAAATAAATATGGCGAAACTAGAATGTGTCGTTAATAAGTTTGAAATCGTGCGAATAAGACAATGAAAAGTGGTAATTATTATAAGAATACAACTCAAGAAAATATTGACTATTTGTATAATTCTTAGCAGAAAAAAGCTAGTCATCAAATAGATAGACGAAGATTCTCAATTGCTTTAACTGTTATTCATCAAGTTCTTTTTATTTATAGAAAAGAAAAATGAAACAGTTGAAGCATTGTTGACAGTTTCCTCTCGGTTTTATCAAACAAAAATTAGCTCTCTCGAGAGAAAAAGAGAATAGAAAGCAAATGAGCTTTTAGAAATGTAAGTGCTCTAAAAAAGAAAGTAAGGAGACAAAAGATGAAAGATTCTATTTCTGCATTTATTAATTCAGCTCATTTAACGCATGCATTGGTCATAGCTTCTCTGTAAAAAAAATACTGTGTGATCTACATATATCTTATCTTTTCGTTTAATTACACACTAGTGGGCATGACTTACATGAGCAATAATATCGATTGAAAATTTCCAATATACATAGACGACATACATTAGAGCTCAAAACTGATGATATATATGTCAAATGACCTTGTTTCTGTAGTATATCAAGATAAATTGAAGACATACAATTGCCATGTATGGCGACAACCTATGACCGTTCAAGTCATGCTGGACGGATGTATATCAGCAACTAGGGACGAATTATTTTATTGACGAGACTTAGTTAATGACATTAACTCAGTGACTTCACTTAACTATTAATATTAAAATTAATGTTTTCTATTTAACACTTAATTCATCAACAGTAGGTAATTGACATGGAGCAAATACCATGTTATTTTGATTTTTTTTTATCAAAGAAAAACTGATTTAACAAATACTAGGAGTAATCCGTATAATAATTCTAGGTTCTCTAGCGTTGGTCATTAGGGTTACACTGGTGACGATCATTAATCGGTATACGGTTACAGCTTCACCGGTTCAAACTGATAACCGCAGGTACGGTTACCGTCCAAGCCAATTTTCACGAGGGATAGGGCTTTTTGAGAAAAAAACCATGTTTTCTCAAGTGAAAGAAGAGTCCTATGGAATAAAATGGGTTTGCTTGCTTGTTTGTTTAGAGGCACGTGCCAGACCACGTGTCCCCATATATTGAGGCAAACTTACAGCAGTTATTATAGTGAAACACTTTCTTTTGTATATTTTACCAGTAACCTACTTCTACAGTATAAGTATAGTCCAATCAGGTTTTTCCGCATCGCTATTTCATCCAATCACGTTTTTCCGTGGCGGGATTTTGTCCGATCAGGTTTTCGCGCATCTTCGTTTGGTCTACTCAGGTTTTCCCGAATCGCAGTCTCGGTCAATTAAGTTTGTTCAGATCGTGGTTTAAGCCAGTCTGGCTTTTCCAAGTCTTAGTTTCAGCCAATCAGATTTTTCGGGGTCGAAATTTTTCTGATCGGTTTTGTTTTAGGAAACGGTTTCAGTGAACCAGGTCTGTTGAGTTAAGGTTTTCAGCGCGTCACATATTGTCCGAGTAGACTTTCTACCTAGGGGATTATGGAGATCTACCAAGTTATTGACGAGCTGGATTACTTTTGCTAAAAGCATGAATATGAAAACAAGCTGTAGAATGTCGCTGAATAGTCAATAACTCAGCGATAGTTTTATGGCTCAATTTGAAATTTTCAAAAGCGAGCGCTTTAATAAACACAAGTGACGCATTAATGACCATTGCAATCTTGTCAGTGTTCTGGAATATCCGTTACTCAAATAAATAGAATTGTACTTTGAACAATGAAGGAACATGAGTTGGAATGCAATTTCATGCTGAAAGCATGTAGTTCTATGTGTAATCATTCTCGAAATAGATCTAATCAAGTTAATTGATCAAGTCTTGATTGAGATCAGTAACACGTGAAATAAAACGACCTATAGTCTGTCTACTAAAATGTATATGGTTCAACGCTTAATGAAAAAGTCGTTTTTTTCTTTTCTGTGGCCCATGTCTGCTATACGAGTAACAAAAAAAAGGAATTACTATAATAACACCTAGAGAGTAGCACAATATTTCATCATTACAACACATGTTATTGCATAACTTCTATAATTTTTCATTATAGATATAGCATTGTAGACGATAAATAAATGGAGGTCCGAACTGGATGAGTTATCAATATACATAGCATGTGTAGCGTAGGTGGGAGATGACTTGTTAACCAAGTTGTCGTCAATGAAACACCACTCAGTTATCATATTGCAGTCCTCATTCAAATAATATGACTTCCAATTTTTTTTTTCGTTTCTAATGTAATTGATTAATGATCTGAAGGAGAGAAAAAACATCATTCTTAGATAATAGTTGGCATGCATGTCAATTAAGACTCATATCTGTTTCATAATAACAATCGGTGTGAGTGGATTTCTTTTCAATAACGTTAGTAATAAATTGGAAATGAATATGAGAGAAACATGTTGAGAATAGAAAAGTTAATGCAACAGGTTTTCAAATTATTGTAGAAGAAACTTACATAAGATGAGATAGTACAGTTCTCTACTTTTGATCATATAATATAACTTAGTAAATATGCAACTATGTTGATCATTCAAATGAAAGAGTTATACTGTTTAAACTCTTTTTTAGTAAAACCAATAAGAAATAATTTGATAGATGTAACGAGAAAAAGCTCCTGACTGAATAATCGCTCTATTCACCAAATCTAGCATGTTGAATGTGAATGTGCGAAGCTGATCTGACTATGCCTACTCTAAGTGTGAACGACAGTTATCTTCCAAACTGATTTTTTTGAAAAAGCAAGAAGAAAAAGAAGGAGATCTTTTGTAAGAATCAAAGAAGGAAAGAAGAATAACATTTTTATTTAGGAAAAAATAGTTTTCGAGAGAATGGGTCTCTGCAGTACTAGCTACCGTTCTCGTATTGATATTCGGAATCAGCATGGTCTATTATCTGTTACCTATTAGATTTGCTGAAAAAAGTGATTAGATCGCTACAGACTTTCTCTCGTAAGTGGCGCCAATGAATTCTACTTGCGATGAAAGTACATAATAATTGTATGAGGTATTGGCAAGGGGGAAACGGCGGACTTGAAGTAGAAAAGTACGCCAAAGTACGAGAAAGTAGACTACTTGAAGTAGCTCAAAGTACCATCCAAGTATTCCAAAGTAGGAACAAGTAGCTTAAAGTAACTTCAAGTAACTTCAGGTAAATTTGAAGTTGAAAAGTACTTCAAAGTAAGCTACTTCAAGTGGCTTAAAGTAGCTCAAAGTAACTTCAAGTCCAAAAGTCCGCCGTTTCCCCCTTGGGTATTGGTCTTTTTGGAGATTTATGCCAAGATAATAGATGGTTTTTAAACAATAATATCTTTAAAACAACATTATTATTCTTACAATACTTGATGGTTTCTATATATAACGTTGATTCCGTCTTTCGTTTTGGTTGTCAACATTATCTTTATATGAAGCAACTAACCATACACCATTACTTAGGGTGTACCAAAAGTTCTGATCACCATGTTTAAAAGACTCTTTCGATAAGGCGTCCTATTCAAAAATGAGAAACCAAGTATACTATGTTGTAGAGTTTTTCGAGATGCATCTAATGGTATATAGTAAATTCTATTTTCATAAGACTCTGAAAGAATTAGAATCAATTTACTGATAGGCGACTACACATTCACACATGCATCCATCCATATTCACATCCACAAGATGATCGGAGATGCTACGCATATGAGATTGTAGTCCTTTAAAAGTTCTACAAAGTCATATGTGAGAAAAGGCATTTTACAAATATTTTTGATTAATAGCAAGGACAACAATATTCATTAATTTATCATTGTTGAGTATAGGTGCTAGTATGGATGCATGTGGATATGTAGTCGTCTATCAGTAAATTGATTCTAATTCTTTCAGAGTCTTATGAAAATAGAATTTACTATATACTACTCGATGCATCTCGAAAAACTCTACAACATGGTGTATTTGGTTTCTCATTTTTGAATAGGAAACCTTATCGAAAAAAGTCTTTTAAATATGATGATCAGAACTTTTGGTACACCCTAAGTAGTATTGATCAGAAAAATCTGCCAACATTTTTCATTTCAGTATTACAGAAAACACATCTAGCAGACCGTTAATATGAGATAGTCTAACCAAGACGTTCATGCATACAAAATTTCAACTGAAAATTTAGAAATATAATTTTTTTCTAAAAACTAAATTCCTGCAGGTAAAATCTACTATGAAGTCACTATGTCGACCAAATCTAAGCAAAAACAGAAAACATTTAGAGGTTATGCTACGATAGCACTCTGTCACATATTGGTAGAGTATGGAAGCGAACGGAGCAGATTACTTGGGAACGCTTCCTCGTTAGACATGAAAAATAATAAGTGATTTTTTATGATTTCTATGTTACGATGTTTTGAAATTTTTATTAAATCATCCTACAGGGATGCTTTTAACTGTTATAGTCATTATGGTTCAATTTGAGTCACTTGAACATTCAAATCTATCTTAAATTCTTTACAAGTGTTTGCTATGTTCGTAAATCATATAATTAATAGCTCTGCATAGTTAACAAGTGTATATTTCGAGTCTTAGAAGAAACAGTTGTCTTTTACTTAGCTCATGTTTCATAATAAAAAACAAATAAAACGTTCGATACACTAAATATACAAAACAAAAATGGCGTTTTTATTAAAACAACTTTTGTTATTGCATCTCTTCTAAATTTTTGTCATTATTTATCTATGATTAAAAACAAATAAAGATCGAGCTTACAAATGTGTGAGTTATCTGTATTACTACCTAAGATTTGAAATTAGTTGGAGATGACTTTTAAATTAAGTTCTTAATAATGAAATACCGTCATGTTACGAATCTTATAGGTATAATCGAAGATTATACATTTCATATGAAATTTGCTTTTCTTGTTTGCCTTTGAATAAACAGAGTTATAGCTGACCTCAATTGTTTATCTATTGTTGGTGGAGCTATTCTAATTCATAGTGTGTTCAATGTCTCACAACTATTTATTTCAAAAACAATTAAGCGAACTTCCTTGAGTTTTTTTTCTTAGATTTAAGTCAAAAATAATTTAGAAAATAAGTAAAATTTCATTATTTTATAAGAAATTCATTTTACACCAAAAAGACATCTAAAAAACAGTAACCATCCAGTCAATATTAATTACTCCTACGGATATGTTGTTTTATCATAGTATGCATATCAAAGAAGCCTCATACGTTGTTTTCCCTATGTCAAATGAATTCAATAAAAATTTTTCAACAAAAATTTTTTGTAAGTTATTTGATTGACAGTAAATGTCTTTTTTGACATTTTCTATATGCCTATAATTTCCTCCGACAATAAGTGGCAATTATGACCATCATAATAGATGACTTAGATTGACGTTTGTTTCCAACATTCATTGAATATTCTCTAAGTTACTAAAAATGATTTCTACGCATCTTTTTGCCATGAACAGGCTTAGATCTTGATGACCCTCGGTTATCGTTATTACCAAAAGATTATGTTTGATTTTAGCAGCCATTTATCATAAAGGTAGGCAAGTCAATGAAAAAAGCATATATTTAAAGAATATTTGTGCATTTTGTAAAAAAAATAGTAAACATTTCTATAAACTTAATTCAAGATGAAAGAAAACTGAAAGACTTTGCAATAATTAAATCATCTTTATGAAGTTTTATTGATCATCTCATTTCCTAATGTTCTGCATTTTTTGTTATTGTGATGCTTTGTTATAAACCGATCTTTCTTTTGTAAAAAAATTAATGATTTAAATATTTTAAAAAACATTGAATTTGACTTGCAATGAAAAAAGTACTTGACGTATATCTCTGTGCTCTGTTAGATTAGGATTAATCTAGTGCTTTATCCAATAGAAGAGTGAAGAGGACAGTACTCCTTCGAAGATATCAGGTTGACTCTCTATTGCTGGACGAGAGAATTATCGTGTACGATATGACAGTAATCCCAAAAATAGGTGTTTACGCTGCCGAAATTTTAAAACATTTCTTCGAAAGAGAAAATCTGCATAAAATACTGAATTAATCCTAAACCACCTAATTCAGTTCATAATGCAATATATTTGATGCAAAATTAGTTATAGTTGATGGTCGATGAAGAAAATTTTTATTTTTTGAATAATTAACAAGATATAAAAAACATTAAAAAAATTTGTTTTTTCTCTATTCTATCGTTTATAAACTCAAGCATAAATGAAATAAGCATGCTTCTCTCATTTGATGATTCATGGAATTCATTCAAGCAGTCTCTCTATAGTGCGCTTTATATTTTATGTAATGAAATCAATGACACATGGTAACATTTAATTCGATAAATATCACCGGATGATTGTAAAAAAAAGGAGCGATTCCACTTGTTAAGTTTCTAAATTTTCTCTAAAAAGAACAAATTAGAATTTGTCTACAGATACACTTGTATGCGTTACAACCGAATGAAACAATACTTGAATTGGATTCAATAACTGTTCGTACATGCGACAATAAAGACAAGTACACTACAAAATAAGGTTCATATAGAAAAAAATGAGAGTTGTTTTTTGTCAACAAAATGTTATTCAAAACAAACTGATGGTAATAATACGGGTGAATAGATTGAAATGGTTTGTTTTGTAAATTGTTTAGTGAAATACAAATATATTGTTGAATAAAAAAAAAAATACTTATTCTATTCAGATTATAATTGTTTTGATGAGTCAATATGAGAATTTCAATTTTATCTATAACATATTATATATTAGTTGTTAATGAAAGAACATATTCCGTAGACACATTATCTAGTGTAATTGTAAACAAGATGATTTGAGGTCAAAAGATGATGGCAATGTGATGAGCGCCTATTAAAATTTAACAACCTTAATATTTTAACTATAAGATTGTAAAAGAATATAACTGTGTTGATGCATTGGATGAAAACCACATCTGCTACGAATAAAAAATCTCGAGTATTTTTCGATTCATTTCTGAGAGGCTAGATAGTTGAATTAGTACGTAGTTTCAGAAATTTTCGAGTTCACTTAAAACGGTGAAAAGAAAGTTCACATAGAACGTTTTGAATATAGTAGAAAACAAATTTTCTTTTGCACGAAATGAAATTTTAAAATTCTCATATAACTTGTTCATGCTTGTTTTATTCAATTGCACTATGTTTAAATAAGTTCATTTTTCACAGAAAAAAATATATCAACGAGCTTCTTTTAAATCGAGTTCTTGTAGTCGAAACAATTCTTTAACAAATTTTTAATTAAATATTGCGCCAATAATACAATTAATTGTTATATTCTATAGCTATCGAGAATTTCTTTGACTATATAGTATGATTTTTATTTCTAATAGATACGACATTTCACTAAACTAGAAGAACGAAAATCATAAAAAGAAAACTTTTCAATGATATGTTTCAAATAATTGAAAGATTTTGAAAAATAACGATCTCTTTTTTTCAACCATTCTTTAATACTATGCTGTGGTATATCCTCTTTAATTGCACATATCAAAAGATGGCGCCTGAGATCATACATTTTGTTTCATTCATATTTTAATTATTTCAATTGAAATTCTCATGAGTATTTTTTTTAAGACAATAGAAATAATTAGTATTTTTCTCCAGCACGCTGGATTAATATATTGCAGTAAAAAATAGTCATGGTTCGTAACTTCATTTATTCATAAAAGCATATTAAATATAAAATGTCAACAGGAGAAAGAAAACAGAACATTTGAGTATTGACTGTTCGTATGTTCGATGAAGTAGAATAAGAGAAGGAAAGAAGAAAAAAAAAGCATAATTTTAATTTTTTACTGAGCTAGGTAAGAGAATAATACAAGAAAAAAAACGTGCTAGTTGCTCATGGGTATCCGATAAAACCTTACAAAAACTTTGTTTCTTTAGATATATTCTTTTTGGTCTATGTCTTTATTTAATTAAAACATTTTATCTTGTATTTTTAATGTTCAAATAAGTTTTGTATCGATATGTGCAATGCGTTTAATTATTCGTCATCTATCACCCTTGATTCGTTCGCGACGGCGGATTTCATTTTTATTCACTATTGGTATACTTCTTAGTATAGTATTTATTTTATCTATTATTAATCATAATCAAGAATCAAACACTTTTCTAAGACAACCTGTTAAAAGACATGATAACCACGAATTCAAATTGCCCAACAATTTGACTATATTAACTCAAAAAACTACTCTTGCTCAAAGGTAAGAATTAGACTGCTTATTAGTTTATGAATAAGTAATTATATTATAAAGTAGCATGCAAAGTTTATGTGCATAAACGATAGAATGCTTATGACATGTCATTTAAATTTATGCAAATAAGTGTCAGAGAAAGTAATATTTATTTTAGAAAAAGCACATGGCCAATAGATGAACAAGGTCGTTCATTAAAAACAAATTTCTTAGCACTTGATTGGACAGGATTTTTTGGTTCAGGAGCTGGTGAAGGTGAACGTGTACAATGTCCATCATCAAATACTACATTTATCTGGACACGTCAACAAAATCGAATTCATGAAATTGATTTTATTATTTCACATGGTGCTGATGGATCTATTCCATTTGATCATTTACATCTTAATAAGGATAAACAACAATATACAATGGCATTTATTATGGAAAGTGAAGTACATTCAGGCACAGGTGATGGTTGGGCAAGATTTAATTTTAAAATGACATATAATCTTGATGATAGTTATCCTGAACCAGCAACTTATTTTGATATGAATCCGTATTTAATTGATTTACTTGCACCACCAATTATACCTTTTGAAAATAAAGAAAAACAAGCTGATGTTGTTTGGATTATTTCAAATTGTCATGTAAGGAAATAATATAGGATTTATTTATTTATTTTTTTGATTGTATTAGAGACATTGTAATTGTATTAAACCCTTCACACAATAAAAGACCTCTGGGATCTTCTCATATGAATTTCTATGCATAAAAATTCAAATAACATTATTATATTCGAGTTAGTTTACTATAATTATGTCTCAAATACAACAAAAAGATGAACTGCACATCAATTTCAGGGATTGATCAGCTACATTTTCTAAAACGTTTGATGATCTTTTCGATCATTGTTTTCTTTTCATTAAATTCTTCTTTCTTCTTCATTATCATCATCATTATCGTCTTTGGATTTCAATGAATGATATGTTGATAAACTTATTAATTCATTTTCATATTGATCAATAATCAAAGTCTTTTTTCAACACTTTAATCATCATTAGAATTTTCACAATTATGAAAATTTGATTCTTCATCGTCATAAAAGAAGTACAACATATTGTTTTTCCGTATTTTGTATAGTTACTAAATGTATATGACTGTTGATACAAATGAAGTTTAATCTTAATCGCTTTCTCCTTTGTAAAACACGATCTAAAAGGAGTATTGAAGTATATAAGGTAAAAATTCGCATTCTCTCTCTCTCTCCTCATTAACAATGAGAGATGTTGTTGATATAGACTATATGATGAATAACGTCTCGTTATAATATATGAATGACTTTTTTTTTTATTGTATTTCAGGAAGATTTAGTAAAATGATGGTAAAGCGAGATGTGTTCCAAAATAGATAGAATGAACCAATTTCCCGGTGACTAATAAGAGCAGCTACATCGTGTTTCTCATTTTAATCCCACAGAGATTGCGTTAACAGCTTTTTATCTCATTTTTATTCTGACTGAAAATAGTTTTTTTCGTTTTCCGATGAAAATATTTTTCTGTTATGCATAGATAAGCTATTAATTTTTCTTCTATTCGTCTTTAACTTTTATTCTTCAATAAAAACAATTTAAATCAAGAATTTTGTCAAAAGATTTAGATGTTCTAACAAAGGATGTCTTCTAAGTTTTTGACTTCAATGAAAATTATTTTATACATCTATATCTATATGAATTTCGAGTACTCTTAGGACGATATTTTAAATGATATATTAATTCGATGACATTATCTATTTTAATAATAGTAATATAAATAAAACAAATGTGATTATTAAAATCTTAAAATTTCTCTTATTGTCGAACATGTGTCTTTTTTAATCATCTTTTTTTTTTCAATTATTGAATTATTAATCTTTTTTTTTTCTATTAAATTTCTAGGCTCACAATGGTCGAGAAGGTTTTGTCGGACGATTAATGCAAGAAATTAAAGTTGATTCATATGGATCATGTTTAAATAATCGTCATGGTTATGGAGCTCGTATGGTAGATAATTTTGATGCATATAAAAAATATAAATTTGTCATAGCTATTGAAAATTCAAATTGTCTAGATTATGTTACTGAAAAATTAGTTTTAGCAGTACGTTCAGGATCTATACCTATTGTTGCTGGTTTTAATGGTCGTCCAGATTATCGACGATATCTACCTGAACATTCATACATAAATATATTTGATTATGCGTCAATAAAAGATCTTGTTAATGATTTAAAACGTATTGGAAATAATAAAACATTATATGAATCTTACTTATGGTATAAAAAACATGATAAAGATATATCGAAATTAAGAGAACTTTCACTGACTGAAAAATTAAAACATTTTGCTGATGTTATTGGTTCGAATGCAACAATGATTACAGATGGAATTGCAGGAAAAGAAAGAAGTGAAAATAAAGTTTGTAAACTTAATCGATTTGTTCGTCAAACACCTTGGCAAGATATTGCTGCACATAAGAAAACAGCAAGAGCTGATTCGAGTATTGCTTGTTTACGAGGTCAATATATGCTAACTCATTTCGATTCACCTCATACGAATAACAGTAAACCACATAGACCATAATATGATGCTTTTCTTGATGGTATAAAATCACCAGCCTTGTTCTTTGCTTTTTTTGTTTGTGATAATATTAATTTTTGTTTTATTTGGAATTTTGTTTGGAACTATAAGTTTTTTAATTTGAGTACTGAGAAAATATAAGGATAAGCTAAAATAACAAGATTTCATGTAACTTCCTAATTGGCAAACTATATTTTGTAGTGCTACTACAGAGTAATTCAAGATTATTGGTCAAGGTGATGGTGTCCGATACAGGTTTTCCACGTAGTTTGTCAAATGAATTTCCATCGACAGTTTTATTGTTTTAATTTTAGGCCATGTGAATATTGTGTAAAACCTAACGTCGTCAAAAACTAGTGCCTGATAGTGATACTTGTTATCATTCGTAAAAGATGAAACAAGAACTGGTTTTCCAAAAACTTTACTAATGGAAATTGAAACCACTCGACAGAGTCGTCGCCAATTATTTGATCCTTGGATGACTATAATTTTTCTATCAAATAATCTTGTTATTGCATCTCTATAAACGACGATAATCAAATTATTAGTATTAGGAAAAATATCGCTTACTCACTTACTCCAAACCATCTTGCCAGTTCTACTGTTATTGATTGCTTTCTAGGACAGTGAAAATTCCTTGTTGTGTACATATAACCGATGAAAGTGAATTGTGTCAAAACCTCAGAATTTTTTGTGAGTGGTCCAGCTAATGCACTGATTGTAAAACAAAAATGAGTGTTCATCCGAAAACTCATATAAATCTCACAGTTAATCATTCATGAATGCTATAAGTTCGATGTCTCTTGTTTCATACACTTAAATAGTGGACCAACATAACACTATGTTCTTGATTTAGTAACTCCTTCGAATATTGTAGGAAGTGTACTTAGAAAGATGTTGGGTCCTGAATGCAACATAGTAGAAAATATAAATTCAAAAGATGAACTATTGCATCTTTCATCAAGATTTTGTGCTGGTATTCTTCTGATACAAAGGACGATAATTCCTTATTTTACCACGTTGTACTCAATAGCTATATAGATCTCACTGTACATGATTTAGTCTAAAATTCATTGATCATCTCAGAGTAAAATAAAGTATCTAATTAGATTTTTCCTTGATCTCGAATGGTCTAAGTGACGACTGATGTAAACAGTGTCTCGACATATTTTATAACAAAATATATGTGCACACTGCCATAAAAGATTGATTTTTATCTGATCTCATTATTTGTATGAGTACAATATGTCATATCTAGCCAAAAATCAAAGTGGATTGAAATATTAAATGAGAAAACTAGAATTTATAAAAATGACAGCTTGTAAACTCGCTAAAAGTTTCAGCTCAAATGATTTATTTTTTCTAATTAGATGATATCGTTTCAGAAGCGCCCATCATTCAGCATTAGTTCACTATGATGTAAAGACTTTCTTACAAAGTTGAAGCAGTATTGAGTAGTATCGTGCACAGGTACGAATTTTCGCAATTGAACTCGGTAACTTTTATTTTAGATGATAAAGTATCCTATTCAGTTTTTTTCCATAAATAGAAACCAAGAAAAAGAGATCATCTCAATTTCCACAGAAAAGCAAGTTAATCATGATTCACTTCGTATCTTTCTGCTTCTAAAAGCCGATCAATTTTTGATAAGTTAATGTTTTCATATTGCTGATGACGCTAGAATGGAATTCTATGTTAATGTCAGATGTCATCATTGTTGATCTATACATGAATGCTTTTTTCATTACGATCATACCGGCTCCAGATATGATCTCATTTTCGGACTCGAATCGACCGAGTGAATTTTCATAATGGAGATTTCAAAAAGTTGTTCAGCAAGTTCCCGAATTCAACAATTTTTTCTAAAGAACTGCTTCGAAAAATTACAATTATATTAGGAGACTTAATTTGCATCAAAGAGTTTTACATATGGTTATTTTTGATAAAGAAAAAAAATACTGAAGTAAAGAATCTATTCATGAACATATAGCACAATTGAACATGGTGGCTATGTCGTGTATTGTTTTCCAGTTAGGAAAGTTATTAATGTTTATGAAAATTTATCCATTACTCTTTCTTTATCTCATTGACTATATAGTATAATTATTCAATCTCTAATTATATTTGTTTCAGACACAATAAATTGAATAAAACTTATTATTTCGATTGACTTTTTACCATATATAAATCATATGAACACTAATGAATATGTCTGAAGAATTTTTAGTTCATTAAACCAATAGTCTTTGAAATTTGATGGAAACAATTGATAATTACATTTATTGTTTTTCAAATAGAATAACACTATTCTTCACAATCTAAGCAATTATACACATGTAATTTATTTATAACAAGTCGGTTAACTTGTTAGAATTAATTAAATGTCAACAGTACATTTGTCTACAGGCTTGCTATTTAAATTAAGCATAAACAACTTAATATATTCTTTGGATGATTCCATGAGTTAAAGTCACTGATACGTTTTCTTTTTTATAAAAGTAAACCATTTGATAAATAGATTTTTTAATTCCAATCGAAATGATCGTGATGTTGATAAATAAATCCAAAATGAAAGACTATTGTTAAAATAGAGTAAGAATATACGACTAACGAAAAAAATGAATAATTCAACATCTTGATATTCACCACTGGACACTTTATTTTGAACCACTGCTTTATATATTAGAACAACTGTATTCGGTATAGTAGTACAAATGTAGACAATCGATTCGGTAAGTAACATTCTCATCATATCTCGATCCCGTTTTCGAAGAATAGTGACAGTAGTTCCATTCTTAAGAGAGCGAGCACGAGCACGTATTTCTTTCAAGTTCATCACCATTAATATCCCAAATGTGAGCAAACTCACTATTGGAAAAATTCCAAGAACTATCATGATATAAGCAGAGTACAAAATATCAGGCAGGCCATACTGTGCGTCACATATACTTTTATTAATAGTATATAACATTGTTGGAAAGATGCCTAACAAAAGCCAAAAAAGTATCACTAATGATATGATACGAATTGCCACTTGTTGTCGACTGAACGAACGAATACATACTCGATTACTAGAAGTTGCATAACGATCAGCACAAGCAAGAACAAAGAATGTTCGCATTGATTGACTGAATACATGACGAAGATAGTACTGTAATTTACAAAAAACGAGAGAATAAGAAAGTGGATTCGGGTGATCTAGTGCATAAATGATGGGTATTACTGCACTATTTAAACCAATAGAACTACAAAATGACATGGCCAAAATGTAGAGTGAACAAGAATTACGACGATGTGCCTTTTGACCAAAGATGAGCATATTAAAAACTAATCCAGTATTTCCAAGTGTAACATATGTTGTCATTCCATAGCGCGTAAGATATTTTTGTACAATGACAAATGGTGAGACTGATAACGACATAACTAAACTATGAATGAACTTAGAAAAGAATTTTATTCGTCATGAGTCCGTAGGAAGTAGACAGAACAAGAAAATAGGTAGGCGTCAATCTACAATACTAACTATGGAAGAGTGGAATATTTTTTTTTTCTTCATGAAAGATAAAAGAAAATAGAAGTAAGTCTTGAGAAAAAAATAGTTAACGTTCATTGGAGTGCCGGCATAACAGTATAATGATGACTTATCTATCCTTCACTAACCTTCAATAATGATCAACAAAGGAAATTAAATACTGAAGGATTTCCATTATTAAAACTGAGAAAACTGTTGTCAACGTACTGCAAAGACAGATTAAAATCTATTTGGGGTGTCTGGCTGTTAATATATGACTAATAATCTTTTAAATACAAATTATTTTCGAAAACATTTATTAATTAAACTTAATGTCATGCTGTATATAGTTTTATAATTAATGAATAAAACGTTTCGGAAGCCTATTCAACTTCGGTCACTAAAGTCAGAAGACAATTGGAAATGAACTACTTGGGCACGCGTTTACTTAAGCTCATCTAACAATATGAGAAAAAGACGATATGATAAAATAGAAAATATGCAGGATAATATAAGAAGCTTCAGAAAAAATGTAACCTATTAATATCTCATTTGATCTTGCTGCTTGACAAGCGCTGTTTTTCTGAATAGATTCTTTCAAAAAAAAAAATATTTGTGAAAAAAAGTCTGCTCTTACAACAGACACTTAATTCAAATTCATTAATTTGTTACTTAAAAGTTAATTAACGAATAGCTTTCTAGTCAATTGGAAAATAAATTCAAAAATTTCCGAGTAGGCTCCACATTACGAATCACTTCTATGGTAAAATTTTCTACAAGAGCAGACTCTAAAAAATTTTCTCTTTAAACGCAATAGCCTCAAGATTGTGTCATGTTCCGAGTTAAAATTAAATTTTTTTTTGTTGCTACCATCTGAACGTTCTCAAAAAGAAAAGTATTTGTGCCTTTCAAAGTTTATTTTGAATTTCTTATTTAATTATAAGACCATTTTTTTAGTTTGTATATTCTTACTCTATCACGTCGCTAATAAAAATGGAGAACATGTTTTTTGAAAAATCTCAATAGTGTCAGACCCTGAAATTTGAATTCGACTATTCTGTTTTCACGACTTGTTTTCTTATATGATTGTCTGTTTTTTTTCTCTATTAATTTAAATGTTAGGATATCTGTTAAAAATAAAAAGCTTACATTGTACGATAGATTTTGACACACGGCTTTGAGAAATTCTGGAGTGTCTTGCAGGACTCGTAGGTTTAGACCCTGAACAGAATAGTTTGTTGGGAAAACTTTAGATCCTTTGATTTGCTCATATTCTAATATTAGCAGATCGAAACTAATAGTGTAGATGAACAATGTAAAATATCCGTTTTTACTTGGTCTGTACTAGTACCAGTGTTAACACTATTTCTAATTCACATAAAACCTTTTGTTTGACCATCGGATTTATCACAAATTTTTATGAAAAACCAAGTTCGTCAGCACTGTAATGTATTTAGCTACTTCTCTCACTGTTAATATTCAATCAAATTGA